ACTAATATTTAATAATCTAACTACAATAAAAATGAGAGCCGCCGAAAAATATAATTCTACGCGTGGCTTATATCTTGTTGCAGAATTTGTACACCAAAACTGGATATACATCTAACGAACACCGAACGAACAGCGATTATTCAGATATTCGCGTTCGTGTTAGCAAATGATTCATTTTTTCCCCGATAACATCAAACAAACATCGAACCTCAGCATTCAAGAATTGATGCAAGTGTTCGCACGTAATAATTTGAGATTGTGTATTTATGTGTTTGTAAATTATACGTAAAAAAAAGTCATTAACTAGATAGAGAATGATTTTTCTCTCTTAATATTTTATATTAAAAAAAAGCTAGCTAATGACTTTTTTTATGTACAAATATACAAACGCATAAATATACAACCTCAAATTATTATGTGCTAATATATATATTCTCCTAATAGGTGTTCTCACATCCTTCAACACAAAATTCGATTAAGGACAAGTTAAATGCTCTGGAAAGAATTATCAGTTTAAGAAACGACTAGCAAACCACGTCACTTACTTCCTTTGCATTTCACATCGCGCATAAATCGCCCACGAATTATCTTTGCTGTTGACCGCCTCATAAGGGAATCGAGCTCGATTCGCATTTGCTTTTATACATCTGCAGAATAACAATAAATGTCCGCATTTACTGTTCAATTGGTGTTCATAGATATATACCCGTATTAAGCGACCTTTATTGTTATCTTATTATTGTTCGATATTTATCTATGTATACAGTGTTTTAATTATATCATAGAATGACAGCAAAGTGTGCCACGCGTAGATGCCTAATGCGCATACGAGCTATTTCTACCTACGTAGCTTGGCTGACTCATCATCTCGCTCTCCTACTTATTACAACCAATCTTGAACATAAGAAGAGCGGTAACCAGAAGCCGCCATGTTGCTGCGGTTATTTGAAGTTGGCGCTATGTCATTATGTCATTATATTATGACATTATATTGCGTTCTTTTCTTCGGAAATAAAAAAAAAATGTAAATTTCTATATCCTTTTTTTCGGAAACTATTTATACAAATTTTTACTTGACACATATTCGCTATTTGAAAATGGCTTTACCCGCACCTTAATTTCGAATTGAATTTCAGCAAATTGAGCGAATGTTAACTCATGAATTGTATAATAATTAACGAGAATAATTAGACAATTGTAATGTCCCGCGAATGAAATATGCCCGAGCTCTCGCATGTCGATATCAACTGATTCATAAGAGCGTGAAAGACGACTCTCTTTCTGACAACGCGAGAACTCGCATGACTCTTTTTTTATTCAATTTTAAGATAAGAACTAGTAATTGTTGACAATCTTAGTACGCGTGTTGTTCTCTCTTTTTTCTATTCCCGTATTTATAAAATATGTGCAAAGACCAGTTAAAATCGAGACAATCCGAATCCAAAGCGCCTTAAGATAAACCGATTGAAAACTGGTAGTCAGGTTGTTGGACAATAACATGATAAAGTTTGCTCCGACTGCAAGAACGATTCGCTTTATCCACGCGATGGAAATTAAAATGCATTCCTCGATGACCCGTCGGCATCAATGAGTCGTGCGAAAGTGCGACAACAAGAGGCGGAAAGCGAATCGTTGGAAAGACGCGATGTTACGAACGAGATACCGAAAAAGGTATCTTCGATCGAGCTAGTCGGAGAGAATTTAAATACCAATCATGTTACACTCTTTTCATTGGACGCAACCATAAAAAATTCTCTACTAACTCTCTAAAAATAAATATTAGAATAACAATTGCTTAGAATAATAAAACAGAATATGCTAATTATTATTCCAATAGCCAATCGTTATTCTAATAATTATAATTCTAATATTTAACTAACTAATTAATTTTTTATCAATTTTGTGATCAAATTTTCATCAATTTTTAAAATAGTTTAGCAAAATGTGATGGAATTAATTCCAAACAGATAAAACAAAAAATTCATTAATGCAAAAATTATATAACTATAAAAATTGATAAAAATTTGACAAAAAAATCGATTAAAATTATAACTTGATAATATTAACAAGTCGCACGAAAGTGTCGACAAAGAACAGAAAGCAAATCGTTGAATAGTAATCCCAACCATGGTGGAAGTACATTAAGTGTGCTCGTTTTCGAGAATTTCGTACCATTTTGCGCACAACCAGGTGCCGGCCGTTTTAAATATTTCGCGGTTTTAAACATGTCGCGGTAACTTTGAAGTGACACATTGCGGAAATGAATATTGATATCGACACGTGATATGATTATGTCAACAATTATTTTAATCATTATTTTTATGAATTAATAGAGAATTTTTCGTGATTGTGACCAATGAAAAGAATGTAACATGATCGGTGATGATCAGATTCTCTCCGACTAGCTCAATCGAAGATACCTTTTTTGGTCTCTTCAACGATTCGCTTTCCGCCTCTTGCTGTCGCACTTTCGTACGAGTCATTGACGCCGACAAGTCATCGGGGAATGCATTTTAATTTCCATCGCGCAGATAAAGCGAATCGTTCATGCAAGAAGGAAACCTTACCACTTTATTGTCCAACAACCTGATTACCGGTTCTCAACTCGTCTCGGTTTTAACTGGTCTTTGTACTTTGTATTTTATAAATAGGAGAGTAGAAAAAAGAGAAAACACGCGTGCTACGATTGTCAACAATTACCAGTTCTTATCCTAAACTTGAATTAAAAAAAATCATGCGATTTCTCGCGTTGTCAGAAAGAGAGAGTCATCCTTTATGCTCTCATCGGTTGATATCGACACGCGAGAGCTCGGGAATTTTATTCGCGGGAGATTACAATTATCTAATTATCCCCGTTAATTATTATACAATTTATGAGTTAACATTTTATGCTCAATTTGCTGAAATTCAATTCGAAATTAATGTGCAGGTAAAACCATTCAAATAGGGGATATACATCGAGTGAAAACTTGTACAAATAGTTTCCGAAAAAAAAGGATGCAGGAATTTACATTTTTTTCGATTTCCGAAGAAAAAAATATATAATATCATAATGTCATAATGATATAGCGTCAACTTCAAATAACCGCAGCGACATGGCGATTTCTGGGTACCATCTTATGTTTTAGATGCGCAAAAGCACACCTAATATATTTCCACCATGATTGCAATGTTAGACTAAAAATTTGTTTAGTCATATCATATTGTAATCAATCTATACAAATCGGAAAGAATTTCAATTTTTTTATGAATTATGTTCAGCAAATTCAAATAACTAAGCTAATCTATTCAAATAACTTATAACTGTTGTAAATCTCTTAAAATCATAAAATCGCGGGATGTAAGGCAAATTCTCTTTGATAAGTATCTGTTTTGTTATAATGATAAAATTGTTTTGTGACCAATCAATCTTAAATTAAAAAAATTAATATAAAGTCGTCATTATTCGTGTATTGATTAACTTTTTTATATCTTGAAAAAGTCTAGACAGTCCAGAAGTTTAGAGAAAAGATAGCTTTATATTGATTTTTAAATTTTAAGATCAGATATTTTTCTTAAAATGGAAAAAAGTTGATTAGTATTGATATTAGGTCTAGCAAATTGATATCAGTGTTTTTTTCATGAAGAAGATTGGATTGAATTATGTTGTTATTCATCAATGTTCTTCATTTTATTATATCCAAAATGAAGTCGTATAGTCGAGTCTCATTGTCAAGATATAGTGGAACAGGCAAAAACCTTTAGGTTACAGAAGTAAAAAATATGAGAACTGAAAAAAATAGTAGAAAATATGATGAATACTTAGTTCTAACTACATCTTTTTAATTGGTTACGCCCAACAGAAAAAGCTTTCCAATTGTTATAAAATTCTTTAATATGACTGGTTTTGTTCTTATTGGATCTAAATGAACCGATCATGTTAAAAAAATTTTTACAATAATTGTTTTTTCTACTGAATACAATCATTATATCGATAGAATGAAGCAAAATGCCGCGCGTAGATGCTACGAGTTATTTCTATCTACGTTACTTGGCTGACTCATTCATCTTACTTTCTTACCACAACTAACTAAGCTGTGTCCGAAAGCAATTACTTAATCTTTAGCATAAATCGCTAAAAGAAACCTGAGCGGGACATTCAAGATCGAAGAAACTTTACGCTCAGAAGACTTCTCATAAAAATTATATAAAAACAAAAAAGAATGAAAAGAGAAAAATATCATTAATGATGTTCAAATCAGACATTACGCGTAAAATGGACTCAAATAGAGAATACTATTTTGAGCGATAAGAATCTAATTATAAGATCCATTGGTAGAGAAGTATCTCTTGTTTCCCACTTTTCTCCCTTTTTTGTACTCTTCTATTTTACAAAATGTATAAAAAGAGTAGTTAGAACCAAGTCCAAAATCCGAGTCCAAAATGCATTCTAAGATAAATTCTAAGGTTTGTATTAATACGTTATTATTACGTATTAATGTAAAAACTGCTATGATTACTTTGAAAAGAATAATAAAAATTGTTTGAAAAAACAAAAAAAAATTGAAGCGAATTAATTAACTTAGTTATTTGCATAATTAGATTAGTTATTTGAATAGATTAGATTAGTTATTTGAATGATTGAATTTGCTAAATAGATTTTGGATCTCGCGCATTTAAACCTGGAATGCTACTCATATTTTTCTTACATTAACACTACTCTAGGTGAAAGTTCACCCATATAAATCAAAATTTTTTTTATATTTTTTATGTTTTTACAAATTACAAAATATAAAATAACTGAACTATCACTATATTTTTATGTACAAAAAATAAATAAATTTTAATGTTAAACAATCTTATAGAATTGTTTTATGCCACTAAAATTTTAGTAGCAAAAACTATATTAAGCTTGAATTAACACTTGAGTGAAATTTCACCCACAATAGTATTCCAGGGTTAATTTACGCGTCGTTGTCATGTACGCGTTGCAAAGAATCGGATAGATGCGCAGTGTCGATTTAATTTTAATTTTCTCTAAGAAAAAGATGAAAATTTGCCTACAGTGTTGTTGAAAATTTGTTTGTGTTGTTGTAGTTTTCTTTTGAGCATCTCATTCTGCTGCCTTAAGTTTGTGATATTAATTTTCAAACTGTTACCAATTTCGGTTAATGACTTAATAAATGTTGCCCCCTGCTTCAGGATGGACACTTTCGACGCTCTGTCATTGCCCGCAACCGCTGGCACCTGCATTCTTAATTGTTCGTAGGATTCTTTCATGTTTATTCGACGTTGTCGCTCCATATTATTATGTAACCGCCTTCTCTCTGTATCCTCAAATGAATCTCGCTGTAACGCGCACTGTCGCATCGAATTTTGATACTGAAATGATGTACTGAATGACTGTTCAGGCTGTTGATGAGCTGAATGTACGTTGTTCTGAATGCGGGCACGTTTCGGAGCGGGACCAGATCGATTGGCTCTTCGTTTTGAGGAACCCGGCGGTCTACCACGAGGTCGGCGAGAGACAGGAGGCTCGTCTTCATCCGAGTCTTCGTATTTTTCTTTGCGTTGGGACTCCAGATCAAAGTGTGCCACCTGCTTTGCGAACGATAATTGCTTTTTGCCAGTTTTGACTGACACGACATCAATGATTGCTTCTTCATCTTCTGCAACAAAATTGACGGATTCGTTTGTTAAATCACTGAGTACAAAGATATGTTACACGTTAAAAAATATCATGTAAATAGCTTAAACACATAATTGTCACGCTGCCGTGATGCAATAAATAATTTAATAGCATTATGCATAAGGTTAATAACGTAATTCGTATAACGAAGTGAATATATTCCTCCATTATAAATATATAACATTTTTTAAATTAGCTTAAAACTTATAATTCGTAGAATGTTCATGAATACAAAAATGAAAAATGTCTACAAAAAATATTTAGCAATTGGCATTAGGATTTTCATAAACTGTATCACGCGTTATAAAAATGGTTTTGGCAATCGAATTCTTCAAGGTTAAATAGAAATTCATATAATTGATCAAATTATCAATTGTTATATATGATAAAAAGTAAATAGATATAAAGTAAATAGAAAATTATATAATCGATATATGATGCAATCGAGTCTTCCTCCCGAAATCGCACGGATATATGCAATAATATTTATAAATTCCCGCGGTCGAATAAGTGCTATAAATCGCGAAATTATGGAATAAATATCTCAGCTCGAAATGTACATACAAAAATTATAACAATTATATAAATAATGAATTAATAATTGGTAAATATAAATAAAAGTAATCCAATAAAATATAAATAAAAGTAATCAAATAATAATTAGAAATAAATATATATCTTGTATTTCAAATTTTATTTGCAATATAATTGTAATATATGTGTCTCAGTTTTTATAAATTATATTCTAGAAAAAAAATTATATAAAATTAATCGAGAATTTAACTACAGGCATTATAATACATACAAATTTAAAAAATATTCAGACAAACTCTTAATTATTGTAACTTTCTGTTACGTAAATAATTTCAAATTACCATAATAAGGTATAATATCTTTCTAAGAAAAAAAAATTATAAGGCGTTGGAAAAAATCCCTTTGAGGAAGAAATCAGAATTATTAACACTGCAATAATTCAGGTTTTAAAAGCGAAGGATAATCGACAACCTTTGACAGCGAGTTTTTTTGAGACCATGTGGCCAAGGAGGCGTTCTGAATGACATACGAAACCGTGGGCGTTTCTGCAAACTATGCCATTCTCGGCGCCTGGCACAATTGATGGAAATCCGGTTGGTCCGGATTCCTCATATGGATGCAACCACGAATTCTCGACAAGGGCACTTCCGCAATATGGTTCGATGTCGTATTCACGAGCATGTAAGAGAGAGATTAACTTCACCTCTCTATTTCTCCTAGCCGTCTCTAACCCATTCGCGTCTCTGAATTGTAGTATAATTCCATTGCAACGATCACTTCGCATCCACCAAGCGGTTTATCTTATCTTTATTAAGTCAATTCTCTCGTTTGGTCCTCGAGATGATTCACATGTAATAAAGCGCAATAAATCATTGTTAACTTATTATGTACAGTGTTTCTGTGTGCTTCCCGAGTTGCGATTACCACACGTAATTCGAAATGTTTTTCAATCCGTTTCATTGATTATACAATCCGCGAGATCGGATAATCTCACGGACACATCGTAATGCTTTTACAATCAAAGAGTTTACGAGGAAAAAAATCTCGCCAACACGTATTTCGTATTATAATTTTCGTCGGCTAATGAACTTATTGAGAAGTTCCTCTTTCCATGCCAAGTTTTATCGGTAATTTTATACTACAATCTTGCGTCCTTCGTTAGCCGCAAGACTGCAGTATGCACGCAAGAACGTCACGCAGCTTCGTGCACCTCTCCCATTTATGGAGTAATAATGAGAGTTTGACAAATAATAATGTTTACACCGGTTTTCAGAGAAAATACATTAATAATAAGTATTATACTGAAATATACGTTTAATAAAAATATACATATTAAGTTTCATTTTCTCTAACTTAATAAATTCAATCACTCGCATTACATTGAAGCATTAAACATACTGTTAAATTACATGACAACATTATTATTGCACTGAGAAAAAAAATGCTGTTGATTCAATTAAGGTCTACATTACGAGCTGTTTATTACTAACATAAATGATTAATTCATGTGTGTATTTTTATTGACGTAAAGGCATAAATTATTATTTCAATAATCAAGGCCTTTATGTCAATAAAAAACATACATGAATTAATTACTTATGTTAGTGACAGCCCGTAATATAGATTTTAATTGAATCAATATCATTTGTTTCTCAGTGTGGGTATTTAATTGTATAAAAATATTTATATGTGCTTACACATTTTATATGCTTATATTTTAACTTTGCTAATTCCATGTACAGCAACTTCTAGTACGCACTAATTTCACGTAGTTACAGAATTCGTTATTAAGAATCAATTTTTCGTTGTTATATCGGAGCTGAGCCACGAGAGATCGCATTCGCGTGGCTATGCCTCGCTAGAGGGAAATGCACGTTAAACTGTGCCATTTAAAGACGAATTCAGCGCTATTCATTTAGAGCTCCCAACTTCCAGCGTGCATACCCTTTTTGGCACCGCTCCATAGGTGCCGTAACATTTCAGCCCGGGCTCATAAACGAGGACAAGCGGAAGGAGACACTCGTCGAGGCACGAGGAAGAAAAGCGAGACGTCGGTCTCGCACGCGCGCGCCTATGCACGTGCACGAAAGCGGCCTCGCGTCAAGGCGCTTCCACGTGCTTGATGCATTCGAACGTATGAATCCCAGCCGAATCTGGCCCGGGGCCAGCACGTCTCGTCTCGTTTCGCCCGCGAAAAGGCGCGAAACGTCTAAAAATAACGATGCAACTGTCCAAGTAGGCGAGGCTCTGATTTACTCTCACGCTCCTATCACCGGCGTTATTCGCGCGATCCGTAATGAGACATCGAATAATAAACACTTAGTAATCACTCGATGTATAGCCACTTAATGGGAATTACTTAAAAGATAAATGCTTGATAAGCTAAAGTCGATAGTTGAAGGAAAGGAATCATTAACGTATCGTCATTTTTTTAAGTATTATTTAATTACGTAGTATTATTTAATTAAATTTACTAAGTGCTTCTTTTCGCATACCATAATGTCTATTATCTATTTAGAATTTCTACAAAAACTAAGTAAATTAAAAAGCTCTTTTTCCCTTTCTCTTTCCTTTTTTACTGTCACTGACATCATGATGCGAATATCTCGGTCGAGGGAGTGCCTCAATTTTTCGTGACGTTCCACATGTTCGCGATATTTAATTAGCACAGTCACGTGTGTCAAGAGTGTGTGTGTGTGTGTGTGTGTGTGTGTGTGTGTGTGTGTGTGTGTGTGTGTGTGTGTGTGTGTGTGTGTGTGTGTGTGTGTGTGTGTGTGGGGAATAAGCGAGAAGAAGCTCGAGCAAGAACGTGACTTGCGTGTGACGGGAACGCGGAAGTCGCGTGTGCAATTGAACGTCAGAATATATGCTAATAATCGCACGACTCTAGGCGCAGCGGAATTTGTTTGTATTGGTATCCGTGTCGTTGTAACGTACGCACACATACAGGGATAGAACATCGCGAATATGCGATCATGCCGCACGGAATGACGTTCTAACGCCACTTACGTTATACGTAACGACTAATTCATTAACCGGTAATCGTCAACCGACTTCTCCCCACAATAAATGTTGAAGTACTAATTACAGATCTCTCGAGGACGTGTGATAAATAACTGAGAACGTTAGCTCGTTGCAAAGTCAATTCCTCTCGACGATCTGTATAGAGATAACTAATAAATGGAAAGAACCATTTTATATCTATATGGAAATAGTTTTGCTGATGAAATATTTATATAAAAAAAAATTAATTTTAAAAAATTAATAAATTTTTGATATTTCAGCAGAATTACTTTCCATGTAAAGATTTAATTAGTTACAGATAAAAATAATTATCTAGAACGCTCAAGCATGATGCAATGTTATAAAAAATTGTAGCATCCTAATAAACATCTTGAGTGTCGTATATAGTTGTTTTCATAGTCCATATAACAAAATTATTTTCAGATCTGTATCTAGCTAAACAGACAGCTTTACAGACTTCAGTGAAACTGTCTTTTCGTGATAACATATATAGTGTTCCCACCAAATCCACCAAGTGGATAATAATTCTTTCCAGATTAGGGATGTATCATTCTTATTTATCACTCTTATTAATCACTCTTATTTATCGATTACATATTACTGACTCACTTGCACGCGCAGCTTAACATATAAACATTTAATGGTAATGAATTACAATTGACGTTACATAAAACATTAGCATCAATATACAATAAAAGAAACACACCAAAAGGCACTGCATGCTCGAATAACCACCTGACTTTGCTAAAAGTTTCTCAACCTATCTATCCTTGTGATATGTCCCATATTAGATTCCATTCTCTCTCCCTCTCTGCCTCTCTTTCTCCAACTCGTCTCGTTTTACGTCTCGTTTTACAAATATCGGTCTTATGAATGCTTGTGTCACACGCGCCGTCGCGAGGAGGCTGCAGAAGTGGTCGGCGGTCCATCGAGATGCAAGCATGTCGATGCAAGCAGCATCTCGATGGAAGAAGGAGGAGTGACGGGGGATCAAGTATTCCGTGAGGCCAGAACGGGGGAAGAGGACGATAGACGGTAGAGAGAGGGATAACATCAATTCGCGGCAGCACGTGCACGGTACAGTCGCGTAAGAACGACCTTGGAGGTCAGTGCTCTCCGCGTAAGCAGGCCATAGTAGTACGTCGACGCGATCGATCATCTCTCCTCTCTCTCTTGCTCTCATTGAAGTAGGCGACGCGGCGCCGATAGAGGAGACCAGAGGAACAGAATGAGGAACAGACAGACAGGATAGGCAGCGAGAGACACGACAAGGAGGAGAGGACTCCTCCGCGCCGTATCGAACGCGACGAAAGCCTCTGCTTAGGAAATGTTTGGGCGTGGATCTGGGGTGAGAGTATATCTATACTCCCGCGCTTCGGTTTTCAGGTGGTAACTCCTTTTCGCCCCTTTTCCCCTTGTCTC